CAGGTAAAATATGACATTTAATTTTGAACATCTCTCCTTCAAGATGAAGCCGAGTACCCTGCTCCCAAATGACATGGCTAGAGGCTGATAGTGGAATCAGTCATTGGCTGGTGGCCTTATGCATGTGCATTGCTAGTCATAATGTAACACATATGCCCATTGCCAGGCAACAAATCAGTGAACATATTCCTGAAGCACATGCGCTCAACAACAGAGGGACATCCATTGCTAGGTAAGAGACCAATAAACACGCATTCTTGATAACAGAAGATGGTTTTTTCCATGGGGTCCATGCCAAGGAGTTACAAGAGGGCACAGTCAGATGGGATGAAGTTCAACGGAGTAGTAAAGTGTGGTCAGAAGTCGAGAGTGCCCAGTTTGAAGAGTGTACCAGATAGCGATTTGTGAACTGTTGTAACCAGTTGTCTAAAGGTCCAATAAATCCGATCATCAAATCCAAAACCGATCTTATTAGTCATGCAAACCTTGGACACATGACAATATTAAAAAAATTCAGTATATAATGCGACACAAACATAGCACTCCAGCTACTTGTAAACATTACATCAATTACCTCATGACAGCATTGGATATACAGAAGGAAGTAAATATGCAGAATTATATTATTAAAACTGGCAATTCCAGAATTTCCTTATTTTCAGTCAGTTCACAGCAAAGCTTTTACAAAAGTTTGAAAATCTCTGCTTCAAGGTTAAGTAATCTAATGACATAGTTTACTGTTCTCTTATCTCACTATCACCAGAATATTCTTTCCATTCAATACTCACCCTGATCTTGATGCTAAACAGCAACTCTCACCACAAGTTTTTACATTATAATTCTTGAATTATTTTTTTTTATACATTTATTGTCCTGCTTGAAACAACATTCTTTAACGTTGTACAGCTTCCATCAGACTAGAGATAAATAAACTATTTTGCTATAATGTGGAAGACAAGATACTGTATCATTATCCAACCTCCAGCTGCTGACCTTAAAAGACAGAGCATGAGATGGATTTCACAGATAACTCTACTGAAAGTGAAGGATAATGAAAAAATGGATATTAACTTACAAAGCTGGGCAGACGGAACAGTACATATGTGATGGTCTTGGGTGTATGTAACAAAAATGTCTAGCTCAAAAGTTAAATTGCATTATCCTCACTCTCTGTGTGAGCAGACAATGCTAGCATATATTATTCTAGAGGCTTAATAGAATCCTCCTTTGGGTTTGTTTTGAGAATATTCCTATTCCCCACAGCATGTAAACAGAACATAATTATGCAATATAATTGGTTATGCTCTTTTTGTCTTTAATAATAAATACAGAGCTGATTGGTCCACAGATTAGACCTGTATTCAGGAGGTACTAGGTTTGAATCCTGGTCAGGTATTGGCTATCTAAACTGAAGATTTCTGTGTGCTTCCTCAGTCTCTCCAGCCAAATGCAAGGATAACAGCTTCTTCAGTCCACAACTGTTTCCATCCAAATCCTTCCCAATTCATCACTACATAGTCCAACTTGCCCCCCTCCCACCAAAAAATACAAAATTCGCCAACACTACTTAACATAACTTGCATGAACTATCTTCATTGGTTGCATCCTATTGTATGTTCCAGATTTTTTATATATAGGAATTATGTCAACCATCAACACAACAAATATACTTGATCTTTATTCCTGCAACATGTTTCTGTCACACAAGACAATCATCAGGCAGCTGTATATAGGAATATGTACAGTAGCAGGAATAAAGATCAAATATTAAAACTGAGTATATTTGTTGTGTTGACAGTTGACATAATTCCTATATATAAAAAATACCAAACATAAGCTTGAAATTTAAATGCAAAATCATTCACAAACCAAGAAAAGAAATGAACATATCTCACTCATATCTGTATACAAAACTTAAGCTTGATACCTCTTCTAATCTGTTAACAGACAATATGAACAGAGGGAAGAACAGTGCAGCCATGACAGAAATAGTATGGTCCATAACGATAATTTCATTAAGACAGAAACTGTCAATAGGAAAATCTCACATACAATGACTACTCTTTCTGGCACCAAATTACTAGAATAAATTCATAACTTACACTGATTTCCCCCTTTTCTTTCTGTACCATCTATACTAACACTTTGCTTCCCACGCTATCTGTGGCAGGCAATGTGTAAAGGTACAGTTAGTCCAACTTTTAGGCCTCTTGCTTGCCTACAGGATGAAAGAACACATTCGAAAATTTGGGTTTTGAATAGGCAATTTACTCAACCTCAAGGCAGAAGTGCCAGAACACATACATATGAGTCACAGTATGCAATCAAATACTATCAGCTGCCTCCTCAAAATATTACAGTCACAGAATGGGACAAAACTGTTAAGACTGCATACAGGACAATATGGCAACTTCTAGGTGGAGTCCTCTTCAGATTATAGCCAATCAGATATGTCCATTACATGACATCATCTGAGCTTCTCTTCAGTCCAGTAGCTTCTTTCATTATGCACTGTGCTTTGTGGCTAAGGAATACATGTTGGAACTTTTTCAGTGACTGTGTTGTGTGTGGTATGTTAAAAACTGTAACATTAATTTTGGCAATGAAACACAAATGCCTAGACTTAAACATGTCTCTGTGAAGTCAGCGACTCACTTGAGAGCAAATCAGGAAGATGGCATGGGTTATATTCTCTGACACAGTTCAGCATTTGGAAGAATAAAGACAAAATTACAATCAGCTGATCTACATGACGGAAGACCGGTGACAGAAACAAATGCACAACACAGAAAATTAAGAACAGAAGTCTGTATTCTTCAATTGGTTTCTGCCATGAAAGACTGGCTACCACATCAGTTGATAAAGCAATAATCAAGGAAGAAGCTAAGCATTGTACAAAATGCTTCCTCTTAGCGTCCTGACGGAAAACTTTGCTGTTTCAAACACAGCACACAGGCAAGCTGGTTCAACTTTAATCCTCTATGTTGCTGGTACAAAGCAGATAGTTGCAAGAACTTTGATTTCATATGACAGTCTCTAATAAGTGGTTGGTTACATGTACTTACTTACTTACTCATGGAGATGAGCCCTTCTGGAGGAGCTGTCAATTCTGCAGCTACTCAAGAAGTTCCCAGCATTATGGAACCCGAAGGTTCATTACCATGTTCACAAGAGCCCTCCACTGGTCCCTATCCCAAGCCAGATCAATCCAATCCATACCATCCCATCCTATTTCTATTCCTATCTTGCATGTACAGGTTATGTAAATATCAGAGAACCTTTAACTTCTCAACTTAAACAATACTAATCAGTGGCTGCCATGGCAAGTGGACCCAGTTGGACTCCACCCCCACTATGCGAATTAAAAAAACTTAGACAACACTAAAGACACTGAGATTGTTGAATTATTCTTCATTTCATATATCTGAGATAAAAAAGCATTAATGTTACCATACTTGCATCACATTTTACAGACCTTGACACTGTACTGTGATATAGATAACATAATTACAAGAAAAATTAAATTAAATTCGCTTAGTGGGGGGTGCAGTCCAACTGGGTCCACTTGGTACAGTGGCCACTGATTGGCCTATTGTAGCCTGACCCAGGTGATTATGATGATGGAGAATTTGGTGGAATGAAGATTGGCAGGGGAAACAGAAGTACTGGGAGAAAACCGACCCCAGTGCCACTTTGTCCACCACAAATTCCACTTGACCAGAGCCTGGGATCGAACCCTTGCCACCGTGGTGTGAAGCCAGCGACTAACCACTTGAGCTATGGCATGGCCTTAATTAAAAGAAAGCAGATGGGGCTAAAGATTATGCTTTTCAACCATTTTCAGTTAGTACGAGCACCTGTCAGAATGAGAATCTTCATAAATTTTAGAAATTATTAAATTGTTTAATGTTAACTCTTCAACCCTTTGCATGTGTGTGCATGTGCGCATGTGGGTGGTTGCTGCGTGAGGTGTGAATGTATGTGAATCCTAACAATCGCGTCAAAATCAAGAAGCATGCAAAGATTAAAGTGGACACCTTCAGAAAAAACTTTAAAATAAAAACAGTGCATATTTCACGTTTCTTATCATGTGCCTTCATAATAATATGGACATACTGAATTACCAGCTCAGGAAAGGACACTGGAACTAGCCTCCATAAGACAATAAGTTAGAATGCCACAGTCAACAGAAAATAACATATAGAAGATATCTCGAGAATGGGGAACCTGAGGTTCTCACACTGGTGACTATGAAGATAACTGTTTCCAGGGATGTGGTTCCATGTTGTCTGGTATATTATTAGCAGCATTTTGGATGAACCTGCTCCTTCTGTCTTCAGGGTAGTAACAGTCTATCAGACTACAGGGTTTCACATCCCAGAAGATAATAATCTTTATACCAAGAATATTTACAGGACTGATACATTTCTTTGCCCCATCTAGGGGCAGGTTAGAATGCCTCCACCACAAACAAGCGAGTCGTAAAAGGAAACAAAAACGGAACCCAGTGCCTGGGGATATAACTGGGCCACCCTGTCACTGGGGGACATAAATACAAAAACCTGGTCCTCCAGGTTAGGTGTTGGACGCAAGGCAGGCAACCTTGTTCTGCAAAAACATTAATGTAGCAAAATCCAAAGAAGTGAAAACTGGACGGTGTAATTCAAGTTAAATCTAGCAGAATCTTCTAAGGAAAGCTATGGCTCAAAAAGGGCCATTTTTCTGGNATAAATTACAAATGTTATTAATGATCACTGCACTGACAAGTTCTAAATATCTGTATACCAGGCAATCGCACTGATTACATGGGTTGACAGTAAAGACCATCACAAAAGCCTGTGTTCAATAACAGGGTCATACATGGAGTCATAACAAGGGCAACACAGGAATATGGGGTTAGGGAAACTAGAATAAGAAGCCATGTATCCTGCTACCCAAAGAAGACCAGCATAATGGTTCCTTGCCATGAACATATACCATTCTGTGGGAAAGTTACTCACACTGGATAAGGATGCCCTGCATACGCCCTTTCATCAGCTCACGTGCCCGCTGGAGCTCCTCCTCATATTGTGCCTTCTCACCCAGAAGTCGGCGAACATGGGAATTGGTCGACTGTATCATTGTGTAGAAAGTGTTGGCATTACGTTTACTGCAGTCGCCACGTTCCAGCCATGTGATTACAACTTGTACAGCTTTACTGAATGTCTCATCAGCTAGAAGTAAATATTTAAAACAAATAATAAAAACAATATAACTATGATTAATAACATGAAGACAAATTAAAAAAAAATTATCATTCCTTGCAGTCCACTACAGAGCAGTATCTGCCATGCTAACATGCAGAAGCATAAGCAGTGGACTGCAAAAGGATACAGGAATACATTAATCGTTTATCTCTATGTTATTCTGCAGCAGCATGCAAAACAGTCTGTTACGAACAGTTCTATTCTCTGGGATATAATGCCATGTAGTTCAATTTCAGAGAAGAGCCCAGCTTGGTAAGTGCTTCATGTTGTTTTATTGGTTGGCTTCCTCTTTGACCCTGAAGATAGAGACACCATGTTCCTCTGAAACACTGGGTGACTTTCAATGGGCTACATGGCATTAGATTTCTTCATTACCCACGTGAGGACCCCAGAGTCTACATAGCTTGCTACCAACACAAGCACCAATTTCATAGGTTCACATAAGGCTTGGCTAATTTTACATTTATCATACTTTTCATGCAAATGTATCTGAAGCTACAGCAATTAAAGATTTTTCTCCAGTCCATCAACCTACCACCAACTCTGCCATCCAACCCAATATTTGAGGAAGAGGTTGATTTAAGAGGTCTTTATTATGTGCTTCTCTCTATCTTCCTGTTTCTTGCTATCTTTCTCATGCCCTGTCAAACACCCTCAATCTGTGGGGTTTTCCCTTAGAGTGAGAGATGAAGTCTCACATCAATACAAAACAACAAGGAAAATTCTGCAGGAAAGGTGATGCTAACCGTTTTTTGGGACTCGAAAGGGCCTATACTGGAAGACTACCTAAAAAAGGGTGTACGATCAACAGTGCAAGATACAGTGATTTGCCGGCCAGCAATTCGCACCAAACGCCGAGGCTTATTGCCGAAGAAAGTGTTGTTGTTGCAATGCACAGACTGTTGAAACCGTTAACCATTTGGGTTTCGAGGTGCTGGAACACCCTGCCTACAGCCCAGATCTCGCCCCTTCTGACTATCATCTCTTTGGGATGCTCAAAGATGCTTTACGAGGTCATCGATTTTCTACAAACAATGAAGTGGTGCATAAATGGTTGCATGATTAACCGACAACCTTCTTCTTGGAGGGAATATGCAAGCTTGTGGACCACTGGACCAAGTGCATCGAAAAGGAAGGAGACTATGGAGAAAAATGACATACTTGTTCAACCCCTACTTTTGTGTACATAAATTGGAAAAACAAGAGTGCAGATAATTTTTTACTTCCCTACGTATGTGTATATACATGATCTACATGTGCAGTGTCAGTGGCAGTGAGGGGCTGTGGAACGCCATGTACTGCACCTTCCGTACTGATGTCAATGGCATTCAACCACCACAGGATAATTTCACACAATGTGGTGTGGGTTCCTCTGACTTTCTACAGCTCATGACACTCTTTCAGTGTTTCATCCACAAACACATGGAACTTGGTCACTGTCCTCACATCCATACTTTTGAAACGTGTACATTTTTTGGCTCTTACCTCTACATTGTAAGGTATAAACAACTACAACATCCCAGAATACTATCTTCTGGCATGTGAGGCCATGCAGCTTAATACAAGTTGAGAAATGTTCCGAAGGAATGTCCAGTGGGCTGTTGGTTTATGATAGACTGATATGTGCTGATTTGAATATCTATTTTGAAAATTTTCTAGTAATTTCCTTTCTTTTCCCCCAAAACGCCTACATAGCCTACATATTTCTATTTTATTACTGAATAAATGTGATACAAATCCATGTATATGTTAATGTTAAAAAAGAAATATATATATATATATATATATGTATGTATACCTCTTATTTTATGAGAGCCTCAATTTTTGTACACCTGGAATACATCCCATTGAAATACATTATAATTCGCCTTACAATAAGATCAATTTGATACACACCAGAATATCGAAGAACCTAACCCCAGCAAAAAACAAGAGTCTACTGCACTGTCTCCATCTTCAGGATCAAAGAGTAAGCCACATGATATTCCACAAACAATTCTACATGAAAGTGGAATGTATTCTGACCTTTAATTTTCTCTGAAATTGTGACAGCTTCATGATCTGTGTAATGAACAACTGGAGGAGGTGAAGGCGGTCGCATACGTTCTTGTTCCATCCGTTCACGGTGTCTTTGTTCTCGCTGTAACGCACGCTGCCGACACTCCCACTCATACAAATCATCACGTGCTTGTGCATAATCCACATGCAGACGTCCAGTATTTGGAGCATCAGTATTAGACCCAAGCCTAATGCGATACCCTAGAAATAAAACTAAGTACAGTTATGCTCCTTACACTGAACCACGTATGAGGATTGTCCAGAAAGTAAAAGACTGCTAGTATATGTGCACTACTTGATGACTTTGTCTGGAATGTTCTTTTCCCATCCTCACTACAATTCGGACTTGGCTCCAAGTGATTTTCACTTGTTCGCATACATGAAGCAGTTTTGGGGCAGTACACGCATGTGTAGCAAAGAAAAAGTGAAGAAGACAGCCAAGACTTCTTCAATGGACTGGCAGCAGATTTCTGCGATGCAGACATACAGAGGCTTGTCACAAGTGCCTGAATCATCATTGGGATTATGTAGAAAAATAATTTAAGTTCTGCAGCAATGATGTGTAATAAAGTTTTTTTCAATTTTATCCATTTATTTCTTAATAGCCAAATGGTTTTTACTTTCTGGACGATCAACATACACATTTCAGGTATGTACTGCCAAGACTGGGTAACTATCCTTAGTTATCATGACCTATGATAATAGTTCTGGTTCACAGCTACCACAGACATGAAAGCTGAACTTGCAAATAAGACTATCATGTAATCATCTAGAGACCAACTCTGTGGTCTAGTGGTCAGAGTTTCTGGCTACAGATCCAGAAGTCCCAGGTTCGATTCCCAGAGCTACCAGATTTTCTGAGAACAAGTGGTCTGGAACGGGGTACACTCAGCCTCGTGAGGATAACTGAGGAGCTAGCTGAATGGAAAACTAGCGGCTCCGGTCTAGAAAACTGAGAGTAACGGCTGTGGGATTCCATTGTGCTAACCCTGTGACATGCTCTATACGCAAAAAGTTGACACTAACTTTGCCAACATGCGGCGTTCGCTTGGTCAGTTTGTGGACTAAGAGCCATGGAGTTTGTTTTTGTTTGCTTTGTATTCACCTAGAATTGCCATAAACTATTTCTTCTTCTTCTGCTCCTCCTTCTTTACTGCCGTTACAACCCTCTATGGGTCTTCATCTCCTCCACAGATTCTTGTCCAGCGACTCTTTCTTCCATCTTCTTACAGCAAGGATTCTGAGATCTTTCCCTACACTCTCCAGCTACTTTAGGCTGCATCTTCAAGCCCTCCTTGTGCTTCTGGGCTTGGAAAAATTTATTTTCTTATGAGAAGATGTCTTGCTTGCTCTGATTAGGTGTCCTAGCCATCTGAGCCTCCCCAGTGTGACAATCTTTGCCATTTTGGGGGCATTAATAACTTGTATAGCTCATAACTGTACTTAATTCACTTAATTCAACATCCTCCCTTATCTCTAGCTGACCCATAAATTTCCCGAAGTACTTTCCTCTCAAAGGTCCTCAGTGTTTGCTCACTGACTTCAATGACAGGCCAGCTTCCCCTCCTTCACATACATAAGCACAGGGTTCAGCATGGCATTACAGAGCATGCCCAAGGTTTCACTTTTCTGGTATCTGGATTTAAGCATATCCTTCAATCCATGGTAGCAGCAGTTTGCTATTCCTACAGATATCTGCTACACAGAGGCCAAATACTTACCATATAATTTGCCAAGTGTACAAAGAATAAAACAACAATTTAATATTATTCTTCAACCTCATAAAAACTAGACAATATATGAGTTACTCAAAGAATCAAAACAGTACAGTGATAATATTCAGTGTCATATAGTGTTACTAATTACAGGTGCATCTAGCATCAGTTCATTAGATCAGCCATATTTATCGTTTTTCAATTAAATGGCCAACCCAAAACCACTGGATGAGAAAAAATAATTATCATTCAATTAGCTTACCTGAGAGATAAATTGCTGCATCAACAGAATTTTCAAATACAAAACGGATGTGACAGAAATTCTTTTTACTTAGTCGGATGGTGGTCATCTCCCCACAACGTTCAAATATCTCTTGGATTATCTCCTCTGAAACATAAAAGGCATAAATGAAACATTTATCTTTAAGTTTTGCAGTAAATTTTACATCTCTTCCAATATGGCTTATTGCAGTCACCACTATTAAGAATTCTGTGTTAGGACTCTGCAGAAGTAGGTACTGATTTTGTACTACATAAAGTAGTAGTAGTAGTAGTAGTAGTAGTAGTAGTAGACCTATAAAGACATAGTTCTTCATAACTTCAGAGTGAAAGGCAACAGATTCTTGTAAGTCATGACTAGTACATCGTAAACACTGTTTTCAATACGAGTACTTAATGAAATAGCCCAGAAGTTTCTTATTGGCAAATATAATTACAGTGATCAAGTTAAAGAGGATAAGATGAGCATGGCATGTAGTATGTATGAGGTTAATAAGAATGGATACAGGGTTTCTGTGGGGAAACCAGAAAGAAATAGACAACCAGGAAGACTTAGCTGTATGTGGGAAGGCAATATTAGAATGGATCTTAGGGAAATAGGGCAGAGTGGTGTGATCTGGATTTATCTGGCCCAGGATTGGGACCAGTGATTGGCTGCTGTGAACATGGTAATGAATTTCTGGGTTCCATAAAATGCTGGGAAATTCTTGAGTAGATGGTATCCTGGTAATGCAACAATTAATTAATGGGTTTCAGATTAGATGAATCGATTTATTGGACAATCTCACCAGGCGGAACTACAGATAATTATAACACAGTCAAATTACTTTAAGACACAAGACAAGGTCTTCAATGTCTGTTTGCTTGAATGATGTCTGCTTCTCAAAAGCATGCAAGTTCACTGCTGAACTTCTGACTTCATGTGTGAGCTTCTATCTTCACTTCTGTGACAGCTTCTCAACTGGCCTCCTTTTATCCTTGCTAGGCGGCTGGGTAGGAGACACCTCCTTGAAGAGTTCTGTTTTTCTTTTCCATGTAATGGTCTGCCTATGGACATCTTGTCATATGAATACAATTATGACTGTCATCCAGACAACAATGCATTAACTGCTCCCTGCTTTAGAAGAAACATGACTACCAAGCAGTTGGCTGGCATTGAACGCCTGCTCTGACCCTGATATTCCGGTTTTGAGGTGGCACATCACAATATATATTTTTATACTGTCATGTGTTGGGAGTGTGTGCATAACTTATAAGATGGGTTTTGGGTTGGATGACTGCATTTACTGACACCTTATTCATTCAACTTGGGACTACAGGCAATTACAGCACTATCGGTGACATACACGCTTTACAGTTTACCATTACACATGCACTATGGCTCTCAGTCTTCATTAGTATTATCCTGGCAATGGATTTATAACTGTCTCACCATCACTTCAAATTACACATGAAGTCTTCTTTTCACAGCCTGAAGCATAGTGGAGTTGCATCATAAGCACATTTAACTTAAGTGAATATAAGTATACAAAAGAAAATCAGAAAAATAAAACTGAAGTACTACCAGACATTCCACACGCTATGCCACTCAGTGAGCAAATGTCAGGATTGAGCATCAACCCAAACTCGACCTCAGTTCCCACACATCTCTAACAGTGTGTATATCTTGCCAAACTGAGGACTCCAGCGTGTTTAAATACAGGTATTTTTTGTACCATGTGGCCCCCATCTCTCTCTGTCTTTATGTAATTAAAAATAAAATTACTGTACAATTAACTTTTTATGTATTCTTTATTATATACATTATATATACACATATTTCAGGGTGCATGCAAATGCATGTATTGTATGGGCAATTTACGAGATTTTCATGGGTAATTCTAACCATTTGCAATTTTGGATTGATGTGCTGTCTCTAGAACATAACCCCCAACTAAGATACAATTAAGTGGCCTCTGTAGTCTAGAGGTAACGTTCCCACCTCATGACTCGTAGTATGCATGTTCAAATACCCGGTGGAGGTCGTCGAATTTTTAAGGGCGGTAAAATTCAGGGAACAAGTCCTCTGGGAGGGACTTTAAGCCGTGGGTCCCGTGTCGTAGCTTTACAGCACGTAAAAGAACCTCATATCTCCAAAGGAGGTCACTGAGCCAAATTAAGGACATTTCCCACCCAACAGCAGTCTCTAATACCTCTGGTAGATGGGGGAAGCATTATAGATACCTCTCAGCTAGTAGAGTCGGTCTTGCTGGCTGGGCGGGACTGATGGTAAGCACCAGTACCGGCAGGATATAGAGACTGCTAGAAATCATAGAGGGAAGCACAATGGACCAATATAGGTCTAAGTGCATGGGGAAACCCACCCTCTCCAATAACTAACTAACTAACTAAGATACAATTACAATGTACCTTGTATGATTACTTGGTTTGGTGGAAAACAAACAAAATCAGAATGCAATTTACAATTTTTACCTGTGGTATTTTCAGGCAGTCCTCCAACAAAAATTGTGCGGCAGCCAGGCGGGCGTTCACGTGTTGTTGGTGGTGGAGCAGTGGGGTTAGGTGGGAACAGTGTACATGATTTGCAGTGAATTATCTCCTTCACCATTGGACCTGCCATCATGCTTGGGTCAGATGGTATCACAGTTCCATCAGGTCCGACAATGCTTCCATCTGGCATCATTCCACCCATCATTCCATACTGCAAGAATACAAGTCAAGATGTGATTTCTATAAATACAAATGTAAGTACAGAGTGGAGCAGAGGAAACGCATGTTTTTCAAGTGGCTAGTACTCAGCAAGAGTAGGGTTGATGACCTTACGTGTGAGCCGGCACACAACACAGACAAATCAATTTCAGTAGCCATGGCACGTTGGAACGTAGAGCATCGTGTCTTTGCTGCTAAACAGTTCTTTAGAAACAGTGATTCCGTAATTACTTTCCAACATATTTTCTGTCGAAAGTTCAATGTTGAGCATCGAGGAACAATTCCAGATCACAACACTATACTCCGATGGGTTGAAGCATTTACAACTACTGGATATGTCAAGAAGAGGAAACCACCTGACTTTCCCCATTCAGTATGGACCTTGGAAAATGCTGACACAGTGAGATGGGCGGTTCTTGCTAGTCCCAGACGTTCCACTAGGCGTCAGGCATTAGCTTTGGGTATGTCACATCAATCGATACATCACATCCTATACAAAGAGTTACAATTTCATCCCTACAAAATAATGATTGTCCAGCTGCTGGCCGAAGGGAATTTTGCACAACACAGAGCGTTTTGTGAGGAAATGCTCGCCATTCTTACTGAAGATGCTGATGACATGGTAATGATGAGTGATGAAGCACATTTCCATCTGAATGGATTTGTGAACAAACAAAACTGTTCTGACCGCTAGACCACAGAGGCGGCCAAACACAGAGAAAACTAAGTATATGTGGCTGTCTCATCAACAAAATGCAGGGCAAACCCATGACATAATGATAGGAAACAGATGTTCTGAAAATGTGGCACAGTTCAGATATTTTGGAACAACTATAATAAATCAAAATCTGATTTAGGAGGTAATTAAGAGGAGACTGATTTCGGGTAATGCTTGCTACCATTCAGTCCAGAACCTTTTGTCTTCTCGTCTGCTGTCTAAAGACATAAAAATTAAAATATACAAAACTATAATTTTGCCTGTGGTTCTGCATGGGTGTGAAACTTGGTCTCTGACAGTAAGGGAGGAACACAGACTGAGGATGTTTGAGAACAGGGTGTTGAAAATATTTCTACCAAAGAGAGATGAAGCGACAGGATGTTGGAGAAAACTTCATAATGATGAGCTTCATAACTTGTACTTTTCTCCAAGTATAATTAGAATGATCAAGTCAAGGAGAATGAGATGTGCAGGGCATGTAGCACGAATGGGAGAGAAGAGGAATGCACATAGGATAGTGGTTGGAAAGCCAGAAGGAAAGAGACCACTGGCAAGACCAAGACATAGGTGGGTGGACAATATTAAAATGGATCTTAGTGAGAGAGAATTGGATGTTACAGATTGGATTGTTCTGGCTCAGGATAGGGAACGGTGAAGGACTCTTGTGAACATGGTAATGAAACTTGGGGTTCCACAAAATGCTGGGGAGTTCTTAAGTAGCTGCACAATTGGCAGCTTCTCAAGAAGGCTCAGCTCCATGAGTGATAGTGATAGACGGTGTGGTATGACATAATTGATACAAGTATGATGATTATGTCCTATTAAGAAATGTGTGCAAGCATGAGCCAACTTGCTTTTTAAAATTAAAAATAAGTATTTTTTTTTATTGTTAGAGGGGTGGGACTAAGTCCCTTGTACTGTGGCCACTTCTGGCCTATTGTACCAGCCTCAGATGATAGGTGAGCATGATTGTGGAGCAATTGGTGGAATGAAGATTGGCAGGGGAAACCGAAGTACTCAGAGAAAACCTGCCCCAGTGCCACTTTGTCCACCACAAATCCCACTTGACCAGACCTGCGATTGAAGCCAGGTCGCTGCGGTGGGAAGCCAGTGACTAACCACTTGAGCTATGGCATGGCCAAAAATAAGTAACTAAAACCACATACCCATTATCAACATGCCTGCACTGCTATTAAATGCTCTACTAGCAATATCACAATCCTTTCTGCATTCAAGTGGGTATCTATTCCCCTTCACACTCCATAATGTCTGGTTTCAGCCAATATAAGCATAAACCTTAGTGCACAAATTACATTATGCTTCAAAGGGCACGAACAAAAAGCATGTACTCTACATGTATAAGAGGCTGAACTTGCTAACCAATGAAGACACATATGATAAAACAAAATTACTCATTTCTGGAAAGTAGTTAGATAGGTATACATCATCTTCCAATGTCCACATCATTCTTGTCAGTCTTGTATTGTTACAAACTCAAGGTACGCGGGTTCAAACCTGGCGGAGGTCGTGGAATTTTTAAGGGCGGAAGAATTCAGGGAACAAGTCCTCTGGGAGGGACTTTAAGCCGTGGGTCCCGTGTCATAGCTTTACGGCACATAAAAGAACCTCATGTCCCAAGGGGATCTCTGAGCCAAATTCAGGACATTTCCCGCCCAACAGTAGTCTCTAACGCCTCTGGTAGATGGTGGAAGCATTGAGATACCGCTGAGCCAGTAGAGGCCGAACTCGCTGGCTGAGTCGGGACTGATGGCACGCACCAATACTGGTAGGGTATAGAGACTGGTAGAATATCGCAGGAGGACGCACAATGGACCAATATCTGGTCTAAGTGCATGGGGAAACCCACCCTCTCCAATAACAATAACAACAACTACACTCTTTATGCATCATGATGTACAGCAGGCAATTTATATCAAAGGTTGTGTTGCTAACAAAAGCTATCCAAGATATATCACTTAAAATGAACATAACTTCCAGACTCTGCAACCGGCCAAATGCTGGCTCAGAGGTGATGCCAATTCAGAGACTGTGGAGGTGATAATGAAAATTATACAGAAAAATATAACTCACCTGGCCCATTTGTCCCATGCTCATCATGCTAGGATCTCCCATCATACCACTTCCCATCATATTCATGTTCATACCCATCATTGGATAACCCATAGGTCCCATCATGCCTCCCCACATGTTGTTTGGTGCACCACCCATGGGTGCAGGTGGTATGCTATTGGGTGACTGCAGGCTTGGAGCCGCGTTACTGCTGTTTGGTGTAGTCGGTGGCTGCTGCAGCGGTTGATTCGGTTGCTGCGAGGAATTGCTGTGATTGCTGCTGTTACCTGAATTCTCTCTTTCATCCCTCCTTTCTCGGTCACGGTCCCGATCGCGGTCACGTTCTCGATCCCTGTCTCTATCACGATCACGGTCTCGACGATCACTCCGATTTCGCCTCTCTCTTCTGTTACTGTCACTTCCTCCACTTCCACTGCCACTACCTCCTCCACTCCCACTTCCACATCCCACACTCCCTCCACTATTAACACCAGCATTTGATTCTTCATTACTACGGCCATTGCTGCGATCCTCACCTGCAATAAATACAAATGTTTCTAAACTATGTAAGATTTGAGGCTTTCACAGCGGTGACTATGAAGAAAGCAGTCTTCTGGGATTTGGCACCGTGTATATGTGGTGTTAACCAACGTTTCGGAGGAACGTATTGCCTCTGCTTTTACCGGTACTCACGGTCTCTTCGCTTGCGGGTTTCTTATATTCTTCCTTCTACTCTGAAGATGGAGGCGATACATTCCTCCGAAACGTCGGCTAACACCACATATACACGGTGCCAAATCCCAGAAGGCTGCTTTCTTCGTTTCTAAACTAATTTGCTTAAAATTAATACTGGTACAGTTTCAAACCTGGAGCCAGGATACCTCAATCGGTGTAGCAACTAGGCTATAGGCTGGACAACTGCGTAAACAGGATTCAATTCCAAGCAGAGGCAAGAGACTTTTCTCCATAATGCCCAGACTGGCTCTGGGGCCCACCCAGCCTCCTATCCAGTAGGTACTGGGCATTGTTTCCCTGGAGATAAAGCAAAGGGGGTGTGAAGCTACCCGCTCACCTCCACCTATTGCTAAGGTTACAGATGGTGGAGCTATACCACCATTCCCCCACGTCTTCATGGCCAGGTGTAACTTTACCCACACATTATGCACAAAATGTTATTAATACGTCAACAACTGAGCAGGCTTTTCACCTGAGGACAGAGACAAAGTCCAGTCTCCAAAATGCAGTTCTTAAATAAAATAACAGGACAACAGATAATGTACAAAAATCAATAACTGTAGATGTGATACTTTTACATACCTGAAATTGGCATGGGTGGTTTATTTTTATTCACATTGAATTCAAGTGGGGCATCATTCATGGCAGGATTCAGCATATTATGCTGCATCTGCTGCATGTGTATTTGTTGCTGGTGTGTCCCTGGTGGAGCTGGCTGTGGGGGTTGTCCTGCCATCATGGGTCCTGGGATGTACCCCTGAGGCATAATGGGTCCAGGCATTGGCATACCTTGGCCCATACCTTGCTGTGGCCCCATCATACCCATTGGCATTGGGGCCATTGGTGGTGGTGGAGGTGGTGGATCTAAAACAATCCAGTAAATATTTAAATATATTATTACACATTAGTGACTCAGACACGGGGTTTTGACTGGTAACTGGATTTACTAAACACTTATAACTTGTAACTATATATAGTTGTAACACTGCCATTAGTCTACACACTACACCACACTAGTCTCAAGTCTGTTATAGTCTTCACTAGTTAATGCTCAGTAATGGCTACCAATGTAGGATTACTGGGCTTTTGGACTTTGTCCAAAGAAAATAACGTTTCAAGAACAGGATTTGTTTCAGTCCTCTGGTGAGAGGGTGGGAGACACCTACTCTGCTAGGTCCACTAGAAAGAGCCAACATCAATGACTGGACCAAGCACTTTGTAATGGATCCAAAAGAGTGTATGTCCCCCACCCCCTCACCTACGGATGGTAACATGGAGTTTCCAAAATGTCATGTTGTTCTGAATTCTGGACGATGGGCAAACTCAAAAAACCTAGTAATCCTGAGACTCGTTTAATGATACTCTCCAGCCCACATTCTCTTCTCAAAGGAGCGAAGACAGCTCAGAGAGTACAGTGACTATTCTATGTGTCTGATGAGCAAGGAATTGTGGTTTGCATGAATAGAAAATGTTTCTCTTCTCTGCTGCATCCACATTGGTCCCAGGGTCCACCCATATGTAAGGTAAGGTAAGATAAAAAAAAAAAAAAGTAATGTAACAAGTCATAGAGGCCCACAGGGTTGTGAGATGTCGAGGCTCCCACATTTTCTTGACAGTCAGCTCACAGATGGCGGTGAGGTTATCAGCCTTACACATCAGACACCCTTTCTGTTAGAGACTGATTCAACCCTAGAACTATAGTGCAGCTGGAAGGATTATGCCAACTGAAAAATACAATGACCTCATCAGGAATCGAAACCATGACCTTCTGGCTTGTAACACAATGCCTCAACCAACTATACTACTGTGTGCCTCCTCCACCCAGAACTAAACAAAAACAATTCAGAGTCATATAACCTTATCTAATATTAAAAAAAACGTATAAAGGAAAATAAACCAATAAAGGTCAAACTTAATAGTGATAAAAACATATCATGATAACCTATGCTTATCATAAATTCATTCATTCATTCATTCATTTATAGTATATTCCATAAATCCATATACATAGATATAGAACCAGTCACATAGTTAATATAGTACAATACAGTTATAAATATATATGTACAGCTTATCATCATTATAATAGATAAAGAAACATGTGTTAAATTTACAGTCTTACATCACTATACATAAAATTATGCAATATTAAAATTGTTTATGTTATTATCCTTATTTCTAGGCAAATTTGTTGCTAAAGAATTCATCACATATATAAGAAGAGTTTTGCAATAAAAATGTTGTCAACTGAATTTTAAAATTTTTCAAGTCAACAGGGAAATCGACAATATATATTGAGCTTGTAGGGGGAGGATATCAAATTCTTGAAACAAACTATGACACGATGTTCTCTTTGTTGTATTTGTTATAATCCTAATTATCCTTTTCTGCATCCTAAACACTTTTATACTATGCGGGGAGTTACCCCAGAATATTAATCCATACGTTATTATAGAATGTACATAGGAAAAATACATCATTTTTAATGTCTCCAGTGGTAAAAAGGATTTAACTGATCGGATTGCAAAACAGGATCTGTTTAACTTATCAATTACTGCATCAATATGATTTTCCCACGTTAAAAAATTTTCAATTTTTAATCCCAGAAACGAAATATTGGAAATACTTGGAATTTGATTGTTTAAATAACTAACTTGAACATTTAAGTTTTTACTGCTTTAGTTCTAAACTGTAAAAAATAAGTTTTTTCATAATTTATTACTAGCTCATTTTTCCTAAACCATTCATTTATCATCTCAATAATTTATTTATTCTGATTTTAAATTTCGCAGGATTCTTATCAAAGATAAGGATACTTGTATCATCTGCAAATAATATTGGTTTGGATAGGTCAGATATAATTTTGGTAAGTCATTTACATATAGTAAAAAGAGCACTGGGCCTAATACAGAGCCCTGAGGCACTCCGCACTGTATTTCTTTCCATTCAGAACAACATTTACTCCCATTTTCATACAAAATTACTCTCTGGTATCTTCCTCTCAAATAGGATCTCATAAGTTTCTGAGCAGCTCCTTCAATTCCATAAAATTCCATTTTTGATAGCAATATATCATGATTTACTTGGTCAAAAGCCTTCTTTATAGTGTCAGTTAAGCTTTCTGATAGCCAATAGTGACAATCTTTTATATTCTCCTATTAAACTTGTTACATTTGACGGGCCTTACTACTTACTCATGAATCAAAATACAATTTACAAACTTGATCACAATAAGAACCACCTTGAAGAAGTTTGACTAGCTCTATATCCTATGGGTGCTAAAGCCCCTGTACAGGATTTGTGGAGTTATTTAATAACAATAAACAATAAACCTACTGTAATAAAAAGTTCAAATATACTCAACAGTTATGACGATTTCTTTTTAAAACTGTCTGAGGAAGAAAGGCAGACTGGCTGAATAGCTCTGTCTTCCATGAGCACAAAAAACAATCACTGATGTAAAAAAGTGGTATCTTCAATAACTTTTAGCAATTGTAGCACTACTGTGTAAGAACTACTGACATATACCTGTAGTTATAATCCAATAACCATGTAACAATAATTGGAGTTATTAAATAAATCTCTAACAATTCAGTGCTTAATTAGCTGAGTGATGGCCTCTGATCTGCGGAGCTGGTAATTTATGCTTCAATGGGGG